CTCCCTCTGACCCTCCCCCCTCTCATGTGCTCTCTGTCTCTCTCATTCTCTCTGTCTCAAATAAATAAATAAAATCTTTAAAAAAAAAAAAAAGTAGCTTTTATAGAAGAACAAAAACAGTAGGACTAGACATCCACCTCCTGATAAAGAAAAAGAGTGAGATTAGGGGAATCACTGAATAAATGACAAAGAATAAATCAGATGGTTGATTTTATGTATCTTTATCAGTCTGGAAATATTAAGAGTTTATCATTGGTTTTGTATTTTTCAATTTCAGCAAATGTCAATGTATACTGGAAGAACTGATTTCTAGGGAGGCTACTGAAATGGATTATTAGGTCCAACATTCTGTGCACTTAAATTTTGGAGGGTTTTTTTTTGTTTGCTTGGTAACTTTTATTCTTTTTAGGAAGAGCCTAAATTTATTAAAAAAGTAACCTGAACTTTAAATCAAAACTTTGGATTCATGGTTTATGATTGACTAAATGATGACAAAGATCCCATTGTCACTTTATGCCTCTTTTTTCTTTCTCAATTTTCCTTATCTTATTTTCTCAGCTTTTTTTCATGCTACAGCTCTACAATTTGGAAAACAGTGTGAGAAGAGAGAAGAACATCATACTAAACCAAGTATCCTTGTTATAAGCTTTCATAACTCACTATACTTTTCCTTTATATACTCAACATGTATTATTTTTGTCCTTATTTGATTAATGTCTGTTGCCCCTCTAAAAGGGTACTAAAGGCAGGAATTGTGATTGCTTTGCTTTGCTTGCCACTATATTCCTAGTCCCTGACATGCAATAGGTACTCAGTAAGTACCTGTTGAATAATGCACACACATTCATTTGCCACCTGTTCAGATATTTTGGTCCTAAGAGGATGGTTTAGGTCTTACCTTTAAGATAACTCCCTGATGGAAAAACTATATATGGAATCCTTACAAGGAATAACATATATTCCTAAATATCCATACAACCCATCCTACCTATCAGTATTTCATAAAGAAATAAAATCACAAAAGAAAATTAATAGCTTCTGAAAATGGGAAAAATAAACTATTAGAGATGAAAAAGTATAAATACCTTTTGGTCTATTAAAAGAAGGGGCAAAACTTAAGCAATAAAATGCTGAAAACCATTAAAATACGTATCTTACCTTGTATTTTTCATTTGCAAATAAAACTGAGGCTCTGTGAAATTTGCATAGAGGGTTCTTGGGATCAATGACAATGGCTTTGTTTAGGGTATCCAAAGCCTTCTCAGATTTTTTCAGTGCATGCTGAACCTATAAGAAATAAAGATCATATTAATGTTTCCTTTTGACATTTATGAAGAAAGGGGAGAACCAAATACTGTGACTCAAGTCAACATAAAGATAATAAGACTACTGAGACATCTGGCTGACTCAGTGGTAGAGTGTGCAACTCTTGATCTCAGGGTCATGAGTTCGAACCCCACTTGGGCATACAGATTACTTAAAAAAAAAAAAAGATATTAAAACTACTAAAGTTGTACGGTCTGAGAGGGTTTTCCACAGAGTTAAGTGGACTTAATAGTTGATTACCAGACTATTAATAGATTATCTCTAAAATCTCTTCTAATTCTAGTTCAACTGCTTCACTTTCGAGATGAGAAAACTGAAGCCCAGAATGTTAAATAACTTGTTCTGGGATCAGAACCTAGGTCCTCTGGCACCCAATCCACCATTATGTATCCATAATGATAACCCACAATGATTATTTTATCTTTAGAGCAGATATTTAGTACCTTCAAGTCTAAAAGATAAGAAAAACCTTGATTTTTCCCTCACAAGAAAATCTGTCCCATTTAGCTAGATAATACTCACATTTCAATATGTTTATTATGGTCCTCTAAATATTAGGCTTTTCAAAACTATGTTCAAAGAAACACTAGAGGATTTGGCTCTAAACCCTTACCAGCCCTGCTTCACTCAGAACTTCTAATTACATTTCTACTTATTTTAGGAATTTATTTTAAAAATAATTCTTCTGCTTCACATACTTGAAAACCACTGATCTGTAATACAGGGAAGTAAATATTTTAAATAACTTTAAAAAACCCCACACAACTCCAAGCATCACATTCATTTGTATATACTCATGCTATGCCATGTTCCTCCTTAGATGAATTGTATGTTAAAAAGAAAGTGTAAGTGCATGGATGTGGCTGTGGAACTTGAACAAATACCACTCACTGTAACAAGAATGTGAGAGTAGGTACTGCCAAAATCTGGTTGCTAAATTCATCTATACGATGATCTTTGCAGAAGGTTATTACTACATGTGGCCAAATACTCTGCCCACCAGATTGAAATCCTAAACACTAGTTCTCTAACAGAGAAAAGCATATTCTATTACCTGAAAACTTCTTCAAATGAACCACACAAAATTTTAAAACCGTCTATTCCACAATCACTTTAGAAGAAAGCCTACTTTAAAAGATGTCCAACTTCACTAAAAGGTATCAACAGGTACTTAAGTTTGATTTGCTTAAGTGATGAAGAAAAATTCTTTGTTGATATATTTTGCATAGTATCTAACTATGAAAAAAGTTACCATGGCAATTAAAAAAATTATAAAGAATTCTTCTCCCAGGGGCGCCTGGGTGGCTCAGTGGTTAAGTGTCTGCCTTCGGCTCAAGTTGTGATCCCAGGGTCCTGGGATCGAGCCTCACATTGGGCTCCCTGCTCCGCGGGAAGCCTGCTTCTCCCTCTCCCACTCCCCCTGCTTGTGCTTGTGTTCCCTCTCTCGCTGTCCCTCTCTCTCTGTCAAATAAATAAAATCTTAAAAAAAAAAAAAAATTCTTCTCCAAAATGAACAGTGAAATTCCCAACTCACATAATTTCCTCACATTGTATGCCCATTTCCACAAAAGCCAAGTTTGCTGAGAGAAAGTGAAGAGTAGGGGAGGGAGAGATGGAGGACATGGATAAGAGGCAAGAACAAGAACTACAGGCACTGTGCTTACAGAGCAACTAATAAATGAGATTTCAAAAAGCAAACATACTTTTTCTCCAATTGAAGTACAACTTATTATCAAACACTTAAAAAATAAACATAAAAATGGTGATTTAAAAACTGACTCAATGGAATAATTAGAAAAATGATCTTAACACTATGCATGGATTCGAATCATTTTTAATATCTTAGAAACATTCTACACATCTTAAGATTAAAAAAATTAAGTTTCTGTTCTGATTTTTAATAGATAGCTTTTTATGACAATATTCATAATACTGACAGGTACATGTTAAGGCTAGTTACAATCTCCTTTTGTGACTTTTTCTTTATCTTTTCCTTTCTTAAAAAAAAAAAAAAGTAAAAGCCAGACTCCTTTAGAGCTCTGAATTGTGTATACAGAAGATGAGAGTGCACTCTCTCTTGCTCTCAAATAAATAAAATCTTAAAAAAAAAAAAAAAATGGGGGGGCGCCTGGGTGGCTCAGTCAGTTAAGTATCTGCCTTCGGCTCAGGTCATGACCTCAGGGTCCTGGGATAGAGCCCTGCATTGGGCTCCCTGCTCAGTGGGGAGTCTGCTTCTCCCTCCCGCTCTGTTTCTCCCCACCACTCATGCGAGCGAGTGAGTGAGCTCTCAAATAAATAAAATCTTAAAAAAAGAAAGAAAAGAAAAGAAAAGAAAATGAGAGTGCAGTGAACATAATGTGCAGTCCTACAGTCAGGACACAGTTGCTCCTTCCCATTCTACCAGATATTGCACTTTCCATCAAGGATACCCAACCAGCCAATACTTCGCATTTTTTACCACATGCTATTCTACCTACAGCACCAAAATAACAGGTAATGGAGTTTTTTACATGACTGAGTTGCAACTCCTGATCTGCTAATTTATGCAAAATCTGTGTTGAGTTCATCAAATTGGTAATCTTCTTTGCCCTCATTATTTTTCTAGTTATTCCACTGAGTCAGTCTTTGTGATTAGTGGTTCTCAGATCAAACAGATCATGTAGACAGACAGTACAAGTATGTGGGGAAACACTGTTTTATTACCAAAATGTTGGAAAAAAGTTATTTCATTACCTTTCAGATTTCATAAAGTGCAGTGTATGTAACATCTACTAAAAGACTGTAAAATATTGAAATTTTCCTTCAAACAAAGTGTAAAAAATATACTAAGCCTGTAAATTGCTGTGACTAGACTTCACTGTCATCTTAATACATTCTTACATGTGGATACACACACACATGTGATCCATGCGATACAGATTATGGAACTGGGCAGCTTTGGCATATACGTCTCATGCTTTTTTTCAGAAATAGTTGCAGTGTTTACACAGCAGCATTACTTCTCAGGCTTTGATCGGGTGCTGTTGCTTGCTGTGTATGAAGAGAAATGTGTCAAACAAGTTTAAGGTTTAGTGTGTTCTGAAGAAGGGTGTGAAAAACAGTGTGCATGGGCTTTTAGAATGCTTTCTGTTTTCAGTCCTTGTAACTCAGCCGTTCAGTACCTAAAAGCAATTCAAATAATATGAACATTATCTCCTACTAGAAGTAATGTTTTCAAGTCTTCATGGCACATTATGATTGTAAATGTCTCTCCACCTCAACAGTAAGTCTATGGGAGTCCCATGAAAATTCATGAAATGTCTGTAGTGACTGTTAGTCACGTTGAGTAAGTGTAATATGAACAAAGTATTTTATTGCACAGAGTAAACAAACAGTATGTTGCCTAACAAAGCTCCTGCTGTTTTATTACAACATTACCTCTTGTTTTTATAAAATGTACCAAGATTTGAATTGATAACTTTATTTTACATGTAAAAAAACCCAGTTTCTTTAAAAAGTAAAATGGTGATCCACATCACCTTTTAAGAATTTTAATTAGTTCTGGGAGAGAGTCCAAGATGGTGGAGAATTAGGAGATGTTAATTTCATGTGGCCCCAGGAATTCAGCTAGATAGCTATCAAATCATTCTGAACACCTGCAACTTAACTGGCGCTCTAAGAACTGCTGCAATTCTACAAATAGAAAAGCGACCACTTTCTGGAAGAATGACAAGACAGAAAAACTCACCCCAAAAAAGAGAACAAGAGGCAGTACTGACTGCCAGGGACCTAATCTGTATGGATATAAGTAAGATGTCAGAAGTAGAGTTCAGAATAACGATTATAAAGATATTAGCTGGGCTTGAAAAAAAGCACAGGAGACACTAGAGAATCCCTTTCTAGAGAAATAAAAGAACTAAAAATCGTAAGTCGAAATAAAAAAGGCTATTAATGAGATGCAATAAAAAATGGAGGCTCTAACTGCTAGGATAAATGAGGCAGAAGAGAGAATTAATGGAGAATAAAGAAGATGAGAAAAAGAGATAAACAACTACTGGATCACGAGGGGAGAAATCGACAGATAAGTGATACCATAAAGCGAAACAATATTAGAATAATTGGGATCCCAGAAAAGGAGGAAAGAGAGAGAGACAGAGGGGCAGAAGGTATATTAGAGCAAATTATAGCTGATAACTTCCCTAATCTGGAGAAGGAAGCAGGCATTCAAGTCCAGAAGGCACAGAGAACCCCCCTCAAAATCAATAAAAAAGGGTCAACACCTCAACATATAATAGTGAACCTTACAAATCTCAGAGACAAAGAGAAAACCCAGAAAGCAGCTCAGGACAAGAGGCCTGTAACCAACAAGGGTAGAAACATTAGGCTGGCAGCAGACCTATCCACAGAGACCTGGCAGACCAGAAAGGACTGGCATGATATATTCAGGGTGCTAAATGAGAAAAATATACAGCCAAGAATACTTTATCGAGCAAAGCGGTCATTCAAAATAGGAGACATTAAAAGCTTCCAGGACAAACGGAAACTATAAGATTTTGTGATTACTAAACCAGCCCTGCAGGAAATATTAAAGGGGATCCTTTAAGTGAAGAGAGCCCAAAAGTAACATAGACCAGAAAGGAATAAAGACAATATACAGAAACAGTGACTTTATAGGTAATACAATGGCACAAAATTCATATCTTACAATAGTTACCCTGACTATAAATGGGCTAAATAACCCAATCAAAAGATACAGGGTATCAGATTAGATAAAAAAGCAAGACCCATCCATATACTGTCTGCAAGAGACTCGTTTTATTTTTATTATTTTTAAAAATTTTTTTTTAAAGATTTTACTTATTTATTTGACAGAGAGAGAGAGCACAAGTAGGCAGAGCAGCAGGCAGAGAGAGAGGGAGAAGCAGGCTCTCCGATGAGCAGGGAGCCCAACGTGGGGCTTGATCCCAGGACCCTGGGATTATGACCTGAGCCAAAAGCAGACGCTTAACTGACTGAGCCACCCAGGCACCCCCAAGAGACTCATTTCAGACCCCAAGACACCTCCAGATTGAAAGTGAGGGGGTAGAAAACCATTTATCATGCTAACGGATATCAAAAGAAAGCTGGGGTAGCAATCCTTATATCAGACAAATTAGATTTTAAACCAAAGACTGTAATAAGAGATGAGGAAGGATACTATATCGTAATTAAAGGGTCTATCCAACAAAAAGATCTAACAATTGTAAATATTTATGCCTCTAACATGGGAGCAGCCAATTATATAAACCAATTAATAACAAAATTAAAGAAATACATCGATAATAATAGAATAATAGTAGGAGACTTCAACACCCCACTCACTGCAATGGACAGATCATCTAAGCAGAAGATCAACAAGGAAACAAGGGCTTTGAATGACACACTGGACCAGATGGACTTCATAGACATATTCAGAGCATTCCATCCTAAAGCAACAGAATACACATTCTTCTCAAGTACATATGGAACATTCGCCAGAACAGACCACATACTGGGTCGCAAATCAGGCCTCAACCAGTACCAAAAGAATTGGATCATTCCCTGCATATTTTCAGACCACAATGCTTTGAAAGTTGAACTCAACCACAAGAGGAAATTTGTAAGGAACTCAAATACATGGAGGTTAAAGAGCATCCTACTAAGGAATGAATGGGTCAACCAGGAAATTAAAGAAGAATTAAAAAAATTCATGGAAACAAATGAAAATGAAAACACAACTGTTCAAAACCTTTGGGATGCAGTAAAGGCAGTCCTAAGAAGGAAGTATATAGCAATACAAGCCTTTCTCAAGAAAGGTCTCAAATTCACAACCTAACCTTACACCTAAAGGAGCTGGAGAAAGAACAGCAGATAAAGTCTAAAGTCAGCAGGAGAAGAGAATTAATGAAGATTAGAGCAGAAATCAATGAAATAGAAAACAAAAGAACAGTCGAACAGATCAACAGATCAACTAGGAAATGGTTCTTTGAAAGAATTAGTAAGATTGATAAACCCCTGGCCAGACTTACCAAAAAGAAAAGAGAAAGGACCCAAATAAATAAAATCATGAATGAAAGAGATCACAGCTAACATTGAAGAAATACAATTATAAGAATGTATCAGGAGCAACTATATGCCAACAAATTAGGCAATCTCGAAGAAATGGATGTATTCATGGAGATGTACAAACTGCCAAAACTGAAACAGGCAGAAATAGCAAACCTGAACAGACCCATAACCAGCAAGGAAATTGAAACAGTAATCAAAAATCTCCCAACCAACCAGAGTCAAGGGCCAGAGAGCTTCCCAGGGGAATTCTACCAAACATGTAAAGAAGAATTAACATCTATTCTTTTGAAGCTGTTTCAAACAAAGAAATGGACTGAATAATGTATAGAACTACTGAATCACTATGTTGTATACCTGAAACTAATGTAATATTGTTACATTGTGTGTCAACTATACTTCAATTAAAAAAAGGAAATAACAAAAAGAAATGGAAGGAAAACTTTTTTTTTTTTTAAGATTTTTTTTATTTATTTGACAGACACAGAGATAGCGAGAGCAGGAACACAAGCAGGGGGAGTGTGAGAGGGAGAAGCAGGCTTCCCGCTGAGCAGGGAGCCTGATGTGGGACTCGATCCCAGGAACCTGGGATCATGACCTGAGCCAAAGGCAGACGCGCAACCAACTGAGCCACTCAGGCATCCTGGAAGGAAAACTTCTAAACTCTTTCTATGAGGCCAGCATTACCTTGATCCCAAAGCCAGACAAAGACCCCACCAAGAAGGAGAGTTACAGACCTATATCCCTGATGAACATGGATGCAAAAATTCTCACCAAGATACTGGCCAACAGTACATTAAAAGGATTATTCACCATGACCAAGTGGGATTTATTCCTGGGCTGCAAGGGTGGTTCAACATCCACAAATCAATGTAATACACTACATAAATAAAAGAACGGACAAGAACCGCATCATCCTCTCAATAGATACAGAAAAAGCATCTGACAAAGTATGGCATCCTTTTTTTTTTTTTAAAAGATTTTATTTATTTACTTGATAGAGAGAGACACAGCGAGAGAGGGAACACAAGCAGGGGGAGTGGGAGAGAGAGAAGCAGGCCTCCCGTGGAGCAGGGAGCCCGATGTGGGGCTCGATCCCAGGACCCCGGAATCACGACCTGAGCCGAAGGCAGATGCTCAATGACTGAGCCACCCAGGTGCCCCTAGCATCCTTTCTTGATTAAAACTTCACAGTGTAGGGATAGAGGGAACATACCTCAAAATGTCATAAAAGCCATATATAAAAAGCCCACAGCGAATATCATTCTCAATGGGGAAAAACAGAGCTTTTCCCCTAAGGTCAGGAACATGGCAGGGATGTCCACTTTCACCAGTGTTGTTCAACATAGTACTAGAAGTCCTAGCCTCAGCAATCAGACAACAAAAAGAAATAAAAGGCATCCGAATCAGCAAAGAAGTCAAACTCTTGGTCTTCGAAGATGACATGATACTCTATGTGGAAAACCCAAAAGACTCCACCACAAAATTGCTAGAACTCACACAGGAATTCAGCACAGTGGCAGGATATAAAATCAATGCACAGAAATCAGTGGCATTGCTATACACTAACAGCGATACAGAAGAAAGAGAAATTAAGGAGTCAATCCCATTTACAATTGCACCCAAAACCATAAGATACCTAGGAATAAACCTAAACAAAGAGGCAAAGGATCTGTACTCAGAAAACTATAGAACACTCATGAAAGAAACTGAGGAAGCACAAAGAAATGGAAAAATGTTCCATGCTCGTGGATTGGAAGAACAGATATTGTTAAAATGTCTATGCTACCTAGAGCAATCTATACATTCAATGCAATCCCTATCAAAATACCACCAACTTTTTTCAAAGAAATGGAACAAAAGAATCCTAAAATTTGTATGGAACCAAAAAAGACCCTGAATAGCCAAAGGAATGTTGAAAAAGAAAACCAAAGCTGGGGGCATCACAATTCTGGACGTGAAGCTCTATTACAAAGCTGTTATCATCAAGATGGTATTGTATTGGCACAAAAACAGACACATAGATCAATGGAACAGAAAAGAGAACCCAGAAATGGACCCTCAACTCTATGGTCAACTAATCTTTGACAGAGCAGGAAAGAATATCCAATGGAAAACAGACAGTCTCTTCAACAATGGTGTTGGGAAAATTGGACAGCCACATGCAGAAGAATGAACCTGGACGATTTTCTTACATCATACACAAAAATAGACTCAAAATGGGTGAAAGACCTAAATGTGAGACAGGAATCTGTCAAAATCCTAGAGGAGATCACAGGCAGCAACCTCTTCGACCTCAGCCACAGCAACTTCTTGCTAGACATGTCTCAAAAGGCAAGGGAAACAAAGGCAAAAATGAACTATTGGGATTTCATCAAGATAAAAAGCTTTTTTGCACGGCAAGGAAAACAGTCAACAAAACCAAAAGACAACCAACAGAATGGGAGAAGATATTTGCAAATGTCTTATCAGATTAAAGGGCTAGTATCCAAAATCTATAAAGAACTTATCAAACTCAACACCCAAAGAACAAATAATCCAATCAAGAAATGGGCAGAAGACATGAACAGACATTTCTGCAAAGAAGACATCCAAATGGTCAACAGACACATGAAAAAACGCTCAACATCACTTGGCATCAGGGAAATACAAATTAAAACCACAATGAGATACCACCTCACACTGGTCAGAGTGGCTAAAATTAGCAAGTCAGGAAACAACAAATGTTGGTGAGGATGTGGAGAAAGGGGAACCCTCTTACACTGTTGGTGGGAATGCAAGCTAGTGCAATCACTCTGGAAGGCAGTATGGAGGTTCCTCAAAAAGTTGAAAATAGAGCTACCCTATGACCCAGCAATTGCACTACTAGGTACTACCCCAAGTATACAAATGTAGTGATCTGAAGGGGCACCTGCACCCCAGCGTTCATAGCAGCAATGTCCACAATAGCTGAACTATGGAAAGAGCCCAGATGTCCATGGACAGATGAATGGATAAAGAAGATGTGGTGTATATATATACAATGGAATACTACTCAGCCATCAAAAAAGTAAAATCCTGCCATTTGCAATGACGTGGATGGAACTAGGATATTATGCTAAGCGAAATAAGTTAATCAGAGAAAGACAATTATCACATGATCACATCGATATGTGGAATTTAAAAGACAAAACAGTATCATAGGGGAAGGGAGGGAAAAATAAGATGAAATCAGAGAGGGAGACAAACCATAAGAGACTCTTAATCATAGGAAACAAACTGAGTGTTGCTGGAGGGGAGGGGTATCAGGGGATTGGGTAACTGGATGATGGACATTAAGGAGGGCATGTAATGTAATGAGCAGTGGGTATTATATAGACTGATGAATCACTGAACTCTACCTCTGAAACTATTAATACACTATATGTTAATTAACTGAATTTAAATAAAAAATAAAGTAAAATAAAAAAAGAATTTTAATTTTAGTTCTGACATATCTATATCACTCAGCAGCTAAAACACAGGGAACCATTTGTCTTAAAATAATAATTACTGAATTTAGAAGCTAAATATTAACATGGAAAAAAGTGCTTTCAAAATATGAAGTATCTCATGTGAGTCTTACAACAGCCCTGCGAGGTAGATAAGATGGTATTACTTGTCATTTATAAAATGGAAGCTCAGAGAAATGGACTTGCCTGAGGAATGGCATTTCTCTTTATGCCAAGGAAAAAGGTGGTATTTTTGGCTATAAAATAAGCCACAATATTGTTCCAAGAATATAAACAAACAAACAAACAAACAAACAAAAAGCCCTAATTTTCACCACAGCAATTAAGTCAATAACAAACACATTTCGCAAGGGAGATTCACTGATAAATATTTGGAAAGCTACTTACTACTCCAATGTGGCAAAGTAAAACTGAACTTTGAGGGTTGATATCAAGTGCTTTCTGGAAATGCATTTCTGCAAGGCTGAATTTTTCTTGCTTGTAATAAATCATTCCTAAACCATACCTGAAAGTATAAAATAAAGTATAATTTTAGGAATATGAACTTTTGGCTGGTAATTTAGCTCAACTAATAAAAGGGTATGTTATGGAATCTGGCATTTTAATAAACTAAGGAGAAATACTGGTGGTCTCAGAGAAGGCAAAAACTATCAATCATGATAAGAAAATCATCAAAGCATTTCATTTTTAAAAAAATTTTTTTCATCATAGCATTTTAGACAAATCACTTTTGTAAGTAAAAACAATAAATCAAATCAATCAATCAAATAGAAATTTGACAATGGGGAAAAAAGAAACTACATCCTTAAATCCATCATTACAATCTAGATTTAACAGCTCATTTTTACTGAGTGGCTAATTATGTGTGTGCCAATAACTTTGTTAAACTCTTTATGTGAATTATCTCATTTAATCCTAGGAGGAAATGAGATAGGTATTTTTTTTTTTAAAGATTTTATTTATTTATTTGACAGAGAGAGACACAGCGAGAGAGGGAACACAAGCAGGGGGGGTGGGAAAGGGAGAAGCAGGCTTCCCGTGGAGCAGGGAGCCTGATGCGGGGCTCGACCCCAGGACCCTGGGATCATGACCCGAACCAAGATAGGTATTATCACTCACATTTCAAATAAGGAAAATGAGTTTAGGGAAGTTAAATAACATGCCCCAAATTATACAGCTAATAAGGATTATAGTCAGATCCTTCTTTTATGATTCTAAACCCTAAACTCTTAACAATGCTATTTCTATATTATTGGTGCAAATACATATACATCATTATAATTACATATGCATTGTGTCATGTTCTGCTTCCCCTCTCCTCACTATATCAAAACATACTCCTGCAGACTTAAAAATTATAAATTTTATTTATTTTTATTTTTTAATTTTTTTTAAAGATTTTATTTATTTATTTGACAGAGACAGAGATAGCGAGAGAGGGAACGCAAGCAGAGGGAGTGGGAGAGGGAGAAGCAGGTTTCCCATGGAGCAGGGAGCCCAATGCGGGGCTTGATCCCAGGACCCTGGGATCATGACCTGAGCCGAAGGCAGACGCTTAACGACTGAGCCACCCAGGCACC